AAGAGGGAGACTTAGTTCTATTAGAGTTTTAGTAACTTTAAGACCGCGTAGCTAATAAGCAACTTTAATTAGCGTAGTTAATAAGCGGCTTTAATGTAAGAGGGGAAGAAGAAGCTATACAAAGAAGGTAATAGGAGGGATTAATAAAGTAGATAAGGGGATAGGGGTGTTAAGGTTATAGAGGGATACGCTAAGTCGCTGCTTAATAGTAGAGTTCTACAAGGTAGATTATATAGTAAAGGTAAAGTAAGCTCCCTAACTACTATAATATTGCTATAGCACGTAGGATTAGACTTAGAGGTTTTTAAATTAGATATATATTAGTATTAATATTATAGTACTATTTATATAGATAATATACTATCTAAGTTACTCTAGCCTATCCTTATAAATGCAATCTTAGTAAATATAACTCTAGGATCTAATTAGGTTAAGGAAAGAGCTATTCTAAACTAATTAATTTAATATTGTAGGTTCTATAATATAGCTATAACACTCTTTGCAATCTAATAGGATACGCAATAGACGTAGACTAGTGTGCTTCTCTACACTATTTTTAAGGTAATAGTCCTAAGTATTTAAGTTAATAATCTATTAAAGTTAATTATCTATCCTAGAACTAATATATTTTAATATAAAATCTCCTAAGTAGAATAGAATATAGGCGTGGAGTATAGTGTTACGCTATACTCTAGAATAGTTATTAGTCTTCTAAGCAATTATATATCTACACACTTAAATATCCTGTTATAGAAGTCTAATAGTAATAACAAGGTTAGAGGTTTAGTTATTACAAGATAGTTGTAGAAAGTTGCTATAGCATAGTTTATCTTATTAGAAGAGTTAGCTTATAAGCTTAGCAAGTTTCCTTAATTAGGTGCAGTTTAGATAGTTATTCTAGTAGTCTTAACTATCGCGATTGTAGTTGTATACTATATCTTTAATAGTATTATTTTAAGTAGTAGGTAAGATTAGGTCTAACTTATAGCAAGATAAACTATATCTAGTATATCTACTTATAGTAGAATATATAGATATATAAAGTAGAATACCTATATAGTATAAAAGAAGATAACACAAAGTCTACTTTCTATACTAATACGTTTATTATAGTAACTATAATAAATATAAAACTTTATAACTCTACTAATACGTATATAGCTTACTAATATTTATATTATCTAGTATAGCAAAATAGTAAGTTTATGCTACTAAGCTATTATACTAGAAGACTAGTATAATCGCATTATAGCTTATTAAAGGAACACACTATAGTTTAGATTAGACACTACTATCTATATTTATATATCTACTATCTATATCCCTAAGTGCTATGTTAACGTAGAAACTGTTATAGATAGTACGTAGTAGGTAATTGCTGCCCCTTGCCTACAAATATCTAGTTAATAGAACAAGTTCTAGTGTTATTATTATCTTACTCTACACTAAAGTGTACACTATAAGGTAAATTAAAAGCAGTATATATAATACTAGCGAAGGTGCTATAAATAAAATATTCCCTTTACTACCACTAAAGATGCTGCTATACTATAGACTACTAGCCGCCCTACTAGTTAACTATTACACCTTAATAATATACAAGGAGTACTTAATATTAATTCTTCCTATAATTCTGCTAGCAATTCTACTAGCGATTCTGCTAGTAATAGTGCAGACCTAATAGACGACCATAATAATAACATGTAACTCGCGGACAAGGATAAAGAGGTTCTATACCTAGAGGACTTTTTAGGGGATATATAATAGCAAATAGGACACACACTATATTATAAGTAAATAGAGCGTGTTTAATAACTTTATACTATCTCTCTTAATATATACGCTGTATTTATAAGTACTCTACGCAAGAAGTTCTAAAAGATATAATAAACTTTAAAGAAATGCTATAATATTAATATTAGTAATACTATCTACTAGGGGTAGTATACACTATATACCTTATTCTAGGATACTATAACTCCTCTATCTATTAATTATTATGCTAATAGGTGCATAGCCTTTACTAGCAACCTTAACACTACTTATACGTGCCTATCCTGTGGCAGAGCTTAGTATAATAAGAAAGGCAAATCTAAATATTAATAGTAATATATCCCTATACTTCTATAACTACGTATCTAGTATAATAATAGTTATTAGTTACAATAATTAAAAGCGTATTAGGTAACTTTTAACCCTACTAGCGAATATACTTTATACTAAGACGTGTATAATAGGGACTGGTTTTAAGAATATAGTAGGAAAGAATACTTCTAAGACTCTAGGGATCTAGCTTTATAACTTATATTAGACGTGGTAGGTATAGTAAAGAACCCTAAGAAATAATAAAGTATTATACTAGTAGTGCTATATATCTTAAACCTTTACCTATCTATTTAGGATTAAGACTGCAACGCACTTGTTACTACTATTATACCTAGTACTTTTAACAAAAAATTTATAGACACTTAGCTACACCTAATAGTAGAGGAATTATACTAACTTATAGTTAGAGTTTATATATATAATATAGACGCTTAGGAAGAATTTATCCTTCACGCCTACCTTATACTAATAACTAGAGATAGGCTAGCTATAGTAGAGATTATAGGAATAAAACAGCCTAGTATATTAAAAAGAAGTTACTGCCTATGCCTGCACAAAGGAACTAAGGGGAGAACTAGTAAATACTCTTTCCTAAATAGAGATACCCTTTACCTAGTTATATATAATAATTTAGCTACTACTATTAAAGATATATATAAATAATAGACTAACATGCTAGCCTCTAGATATACTACCTTATGCTAAGATACTAGTATTAACTACTACTCTATCCTATTAGACCTCCCTACTATACACTTTCCTTATAGCTTTCCTATTAACGTTATACACGTAATGTCCTATAATATACCTAAAGCCTTATTCTAACTCTAGAAAGGGGATAAATTTAATAACAAGACTATACTATAGCTTGTTACTAACGCTAATTAGGCTTTAATTAACAAAGGTCTTTATAAGTCCTATTCCTTAGTACTAACCTAAGTTAGCACTACCCTATAAAGTACTATAATATATAAGATGTAGACTTTATTTAAATAGTAGACTTTTATACTTACTTATAGAGCGCTAGCTATATAGGTCTATCTTTAGAAGGAATATACTAATAACTTCCTACGCTACTATAAACTACTCTTCTATATAAGCTAGAGGGAGTTTACTATTAACTAGATTAATAAGTTAGAACTATTAGCAGAGAATTTTATTTACTAGTATAAGTTACTCTACTACTATAGTAAAGTAGACTAGTTACTATCTTGCTCTATTTAGATCTATTACCTACTCTACCTTATATCTAATACTAGGGATTTTAGACTACCTATATACTATACCTAATAGTCTTTAGAGAGACTTATTAGTTATATTAAGAAGATAGTAACTTCTCCTTCCTAGAAGTATATTAGTTTAAAGTAGAATATACTAGTATATAAGTATATTATCCACGCGTAATAGCTTAGGCTTAGTATAGAGTATAATATTAATAAAAACACAATTATAACTTAGCTATAAGAGCACTATCTAAAATCTAAGTCTTATAGTAGCATAGATGCGCACTAGGGACATATCCTAGATAACACTTATACTACAATTATAACTATAGTATATGCTATATAGACACGCGCCTAGGATATAGTTATATATAACTATTATATACTTCTAAATAGGTATACTATTAGGGTTTTAGGGAATTATAAAGATAGTAACTACCCCTAGAGTACTACGTTTATTATATATTACGCTGCTAGAAATAATTATAATAACTATGTTTAGCTCTCCTTTAGGACAGTAATACACCTATTTTAAGATCTAGCTAATAACTCTAAATAGGTAGGAGTACTTTAATAGTAACAGACACAACCTGCTGCTGCTATAGGCTAACTAGCCTAACCTTAGAGGATAATAGAAGATAATAATAGTATTAAATAGATTTAAATAATAACAATTATTAACCTTATAGGAGTAGCTACAGTTTACTATAGATATAGCGCTTAACTTTAACCTAGTAATAAGCTATATATTGTTAATAAACGTGGATAGTCTAAGACTAACTACCTATAGTTAAGTAAGATAATAGGTCTATATCTAGCTTTATAGTACTAGGCTCTTTATACTAATACTATTGCTATATAATATACTAGCATTTATTAGGTAAGTATATTATCTATGTGTTACGCTAGACTATTATTAGACGTACTAACTTACACTAATTACTACGCAGTTATACTACTTGTATACCTATTTAATTTATATTATACCGCAGTTTTCTAAAAATAAGTAAGGTACGTAGTGGACAGCCTTACAATTACGCAGGTATAGGCTGATTATTATGCGGGTATAGGCTAATAATTAGGCAGTTTTAGGCCTGTTAATTAGGCGGGTATAGGCTGTTAATTAGGCGGGTATAGGCTGTTAATTAGGCGGGTATAGGCTGTTAATTAGGCGGGTATAGGCTGTTAATTAGGCGGGTTAGGCCTAGGGACAGGACAGGCAACGACGTACTAGTAGTTTATATAAGGATACTAAAAAAAATCTAATACTATTATTACTATACCTAACACTTATATTTTATCTTTTGTAAACTACTTTATATACTCTACTAATAGGTCTATTATAAACTACTTTATTTACTCTACTAATAGGTCTATAGTAAACCACACTATATTTATACTACAAAAAAGTAAACCACTACTTTAAACCTATTTACAGGTATACACAAGGTTAGTTTACACCTATATAGTAAACCCCTAGCGTACCATTCTACAGTAAACAATTTTTTACCGTAGTGAAGTGTACAGGTAAGATGCTATTCATTCCATGATTACAAGCGCCAATTTTGTAAACAAAGAAGTCGAATCAAAAACAACCCTCTCTGCCAGTCCCTCTCTCTCCCATCCATGTACCCAACTGACTCACAATCGCACACACACTCCCCCTCTCCCCTAAGTGCAAGCAAACGTCAAAAGCGTAAAGATGCCACCGCCAACACCATGCACCGCACCGGCCACAGCCCCCAACCCAGCCATCGCATCCTCACACGCAGCCGCATCCCCAGCCTCCTCCACCGCAACATCCAAGCCCATGGAAGGCGGTGCAGCATTCGCCTCCTTTGGATCCTGAAAGTTGACGCCCCAATACTTGGGCACCTCGCAATTCGTATACTTTGTCTTGCGACGCGGGCAGTACGCCATGGCCGTCGATCCGGCGCAGGTGTTTGTATGCGTGCCTTGTGTGCACTTTGCTACGGCTTTTGTGGCCGCGGCTAGGGCGTCGACGAGGCCGTTGCGGATCCAGGTTGGGTAGGAGCCGGCTGGGTCGATTGAGACTTTTAGGGCTGTTGCTGTTTCGCTGGAGAGGAGCATGGATTTCATGTCGATTGTGCTGGTTTCGCATTGGCCGGTTTCGTGGCAGACTTCGTAGATTTTGGCGATGATGTCGTCGATGGAGAGGCTGCCGATCTTGACGGTTTCAGAGGAGACTGTTGGGGAAGGGTTAGTTTGGTGGGAAGAGCGGGAGAGGGAGAGGGAGGTGTACAAGTCAGTTTGAGGTTGCCGTTCGGGTCCCAGGTCTTTTCTGCGCGTTTGGTAAGGGGGTCGCGGCGGGTGAGGCCTGGGATGGCGGTTGCGGCGGCGGTGGCCAGAAGGGTGGAGGAGATGAGGGTGCTGTAATGCATTTTGAAATATGTAGAATTCAAGTTTGTGAAGTTTGGGGGAGTGATGAAGAGAAGAGTGGTGGAGATGCTGAGAGAAGATGGTGAGTGGATGTATGAGAGGATGAGAACTGTTGAGCTGTGATGTCTTTTACGTCCACGAGGTTACTACTCTTCTTATACTTTCTGCAGCTTGTGTTACTACTGCGCATCTTCATATTCATGACTTGCCCATATGTTCAGGCGTCCAAGCCCAAGCCTGGCGGAGTATACATCTCGCACGCTGTTCACTCAGGCGGCCGGGGCTCCTCCATTTTGCTCCACAACGGGCAATAAATACTGCAAGGGAGTCAATCTTAGATCCTCGTATCATGCTTTTCTGACCATGAGGCTGAACCATAGCCTCAAAACTTAAGAGATGAAATGTGTTTCACGTCTTACCCTCTCTGGTGACGTCGTTGGTGATGCAAAAAGGATGCCTAATGAATAATCGACGCTGGCTCAAGATGCAAGCACCACATAAACTATCAAGACCGAACGTACAGGTCCATATTCTCCAAGACAGGCATCGCAATGGTCTTGTTGTGCGCTCGCCAGTGGCACTTTCACGAGACGATTCCTGAAGACAGTGACCTCACCTCTCCCTTCCCTCAAGCTCTCCAAGGCTTAAGCCTCCCGTCATGCCCGCACAGTTCCATGCCTAGGCCAATCACAGCCAGGCCCAAGTTCATTAGCTCAAGGGGATATCCATGAGGATCGCCATGAAGCCGCCGTCAGCATTTCTTCAGCCCCAAGGCTAGAGAGTATACGGTATGCTCTGCGCTGAGAAATGCAACTGCACGACACATGACATGCACATTGAACACACATAGAAAAGGTCGAAGGATTCAGGCCCGCTGAGTAAACGGCCCGTTGCGTGTTGCTGTAAATAACGGGCGGCTGTTTTTGGAAAAACACCCAATCAGCGCGCGAAAAGAAGGGACGCCTAAGCACGTGACGGGGCTGTACAGCCTTGCGTTTCGGGGTTGCTGCTTGTTCGTGGCTTGAACCCCCGGCACCTACTTCGATCTAGGTACTCTCTTGGTGTGACAATAGAAATGTTGGATTGATGGACTGAGAGTTGGAGGAGGAAAGATAAATGGAGGGCGAAAGTCTGCCTTACGCCCTGCGAGTTCTATCAATGTCGACTTTGAGTGATGCGAGAGCGCCTTGTCATCAAACGTACATTCAAGAAAGCAGTACGAGTCTGCACACTGTTTCTTGAAAGACCGTCACACATCCCATGGAATGACGTCACGACAGTTCTGCAGCGAGCAAGTTTCGTTGTACCAATATGCTTACATTCAATCGCTATGCACATCATTGTCTTCTTTCGTTGCCACCGACATCTACCTATTGAGCGCCGTGAACAAACAACCTCTTGCCATGAGTCGGCTCAAAATGCTTCTCCCCAGCCTCGCCAGCACGTCCACCAAAGACGAGTTGAGCCCTGAGCTTCCACTGAAGAGGAATGTTCCACTCCTCAGCGGCGCGCTGGTCGATGACGGGGTTGTAGTGCTGAAGGTTGGCGCCCAAGCCTTCGGCCTCGAGCGCGACCCAGAGGTTGTACTGGTGCATGGCGTTGGTGTGCTCGGACCAGTCGCCGAATGAGTTTGCGTAGATGGGGTAGGTCTTGCGGAGGTTCTCAACAGGTTCGGGGTCTTCGTAGAAGAGGATCTAAGCAGAAGTCAGCCATCACGTGAACCGAGACAAGGTGGGGAGGTGGGGGTCGGAATGTGGGGTTGCACGTGGAGGACGAGGCTGGAGGAAGCTCCATGGTGGGGTCCCCTGGCTTTCACCCACCCTCAGATTTCTCGAAGCTTCGCTCACCGCAGCCCTCCACAATGGTTGTGATGTGTAGAGTAAGAGATGGTAGTACTCACGGTTCCTTTAGCAGCCTTGAATCCACTGATCCTCTGCTCGGTCGCGCCAAAGGTTTCCGCGGGGGTCAAGGGCTTGAGGACCTCGAGCACATAGTCCCAGAACTTGTCGTGGTCCTTATTTAACAACACGACCAGACGGGTGGATTGGGAGTTGAATGATGAGGGAGTATGGAGGAGAGCCTTTTCAGCAATGTCGGCGATTGCTTTGTCGGAAATGGGTGAGCTCTTGTTGAGCTGGTAGATGGTGCGGCGTTCCTTTACGGCGTCGGCGAAAGACTTGGAAGCAGACATGTTGGGTATTGTAGTAGAAAAGGATTTGGTTGTTTGCAAGGAGGTAGCTGTCGGTGAAGAGGAGTGGAAGAAGGATGAAGTTGAAGAGCGCAGGGCTGATGGGCTTTTGTATGCACCAACAGCCCAGGCACGCCTCTTAGCTGCTTGCAAGCTATTTTTCAGTTTCAGCAATTGCGCCATCGAATCGGAGATGGATTGCGATGGAATCTGATCCACTTGGCTGTTTCCAATTTGTGATTCGATTGTGGGGACAAAATGCTGCAATAAAATAGCGAGAACGAGACCAGTTATCAGTCCTGTTACCAGAGAACGCAGGGCAAAGACCATGACAAGATGTCCCCGCTGTATTCTAGAACAGACAATAGAAAACTCCAAGGAACGATGGCGAGAGTAAGGTTGTCAAACCGTTGCCATAGCGGACAATTCTCCAATGCTAGATTCGTAACGTGTTCATCCGTCGTTGCTATGAGGCGCGGGTCCGGAGACGGGAATGCCGATCGATTTGCAACCCGGGAGGTTACTAATCAACGACTCGCCGAAGCGCAGCAATTCCGCGCGCAACACCATAATGGTCTCTACAAAGGAAGCCCAAGGTCTCGAGGACATTGTGTCAATGTGCTTGATAATGCTACAATGTGCAACTCACATGAGATGTGATAGATGAATTGTCCATATAGAACTAGCAGCTATGTGCACAGGCAGTCTCCTTGCCGATGACCACGACGCAACACTACCCACGCCATCGCTGTGCCCACATGTTCCCAAATCATTTGGGATCATGCGCAACAACCTCGATTTCCACCTTCATCTTATCCTCTGCCAGCTTCATCACGCCCACACATGTCCAGATTGGCGAATGATCCGGCATCCACTTCTTGAAATTGTCCGCCATGATCTTCAAAACGTCATCGTCGAGAATCGGGTGATAGCTATTGACGCGATAGACCTGCGACCAACCCTTGCCGCCAGCGTCTTTAAGACACAAATCTACATTGGCAAAAGCTTGCTCGATCTGGTCCTTGACAGAGTCGCTGTAGGCACCAGTCTCTGGGTGCCAACCACCTGTTGAGACAAATGAGTACTTGTCATCACGACAAAGGAGGGGTTCAATGGACATGTTACCTTGTCCTGAAGCTTCAATACGGTCACCAACGCGGACGGCTTGTTGATATCCGTGTCCTCTCAAGTTGCGCTCGCCGACTCCTTTGTAGGAAAAGTATTGGAGGTGTGACATTGTGATGAAGTATGATAAGTTTATGTGAAGTGAAGGGAGTGTACGAAATGCGGGGAAGTGGGAAGAGGTTGAGGTCAGCTTTCGTCACCTAGAGCCTAGTGAAGTGTTTACTCATGCGCCCGGGTAGTGCGGAGTTGCTCTATTTGCCACAAGCTAACTATGGTATACTGTTAATTTTGCAATGACAAAGGTTCGCCAAAGTACCCAAGAGACTACAAAAGTGTAGATATTTGAGCTACGCGTGGTAGTCAAAGGATTCTATCAATAGCTTATACTTTTTCGTCACTCTGATAAGATTCTTTAAATGTAAATAAGATTTTTGGAATGGACAGGCTCAGCATTCTCAGCCCAATATTCAAAGGCCCAGAGGTGAAATATTTTGTCAGGTAGGGACTGCCAAGTAGAATAGGCTGAGTGCACTGCGGGGACATTGGTGATATCAGCCAGGTAGATTGACAAAGTGGAGACCACGGGGGTGGATGACGCCGACATGGCACGCTCGAAACTGCGCACTGCGATTGTTACTCGTATTGATCTGGAGAATGATACTCTAGGTCTGTACGGCAACAAGAATGGATGGTGGCCAAAATTCAAATTTCTGCACACCTCCAAATAGTTCTATCGATAAAGGAAGCGATGAACACAATTTACACGATTTCATATCGTGATACGCTACATTCGTGTAGCTTTAGTATAAATGATTGACCGTAACATACAGCACCTAAGCAATCACACACCAAATTATTCGCTCTTACATCATTTGTGCTCACCCGCTTCAGCAGTCTACTCTTCGGCTCCAGAATCCCGGTCGCAGTCCGAAGTCCACTCCCACTTCGACTTTCTTGTGATGCGGGTAAAGAAATTGGCCGAGCTCTTGCGTTTGAGAGTTCCTTTCTGCTTCTTCACTTCATAAGGTGAAGGTACGGCGCGCTCCGCCGCAGTCCTCTGGAAGCATTGACCATCAGAGTAGAATTGCGCGAACCTTGCCTTGCACAGATATGTCTCCACCATCTGCTCATCACCGTTCGCCTGACCGGCCGAGCCAGGTGCCACAACTGTCCTGGACGCGATTGTCATCTTGGGCTCTAGTAGATATTTGTTGTACCTCCAAAGCGCCTCCACATGCTTGACACACAGAGGCTTCTCGTCCTGACGCACTAAAATCGCGGAGCCAAGGTAGTATTCTGCGACCATCTCATCTTCACTGACACGAATAAAGGCAGCCTCAGCGAAGTCCTCTTGAGAACTAAGTAGCCAAGACTGTCTAAGGTCTCGGAATGCCGAATTCCAGTCACTCTTTCGCTTGCCCGACTTTTCAGTCTCTTGTAATGCCTCACGATCGGCCCTCCGAGGACTTTTCGCGTAGATGATTGGTATTTCGACCTGTTCGGAAATGGGAAGGGTACACGAACCTGTTTGGTGAAAGACAGAGTGTGTTGTCGGCACACGTACAGCTTCGAACTCATCAGGTATTTCGGCCGACGCTCGATCGCCAGAAGAATTGATCCTGACGCCACGCACAGTTCGTCCGAAGTAGCGTTCTAAGTCAGTGCTCAAAGCTGTGCTATTGTGCGTATTCAGAAAGTCCAAGACATGGCGAAGGTCTTCGATTGCAATATCATCACCCAGGGGCAATTCGGGATTGGATGCAGTGTTTTGTAAAGCGATTGCAAGTAATGGACCCTTCCAACGGTGCGCATGATGCTGATCGATGTGTTTGGCCACTGAAGAATTGATCTGATTGAATGGACACTCGTCGTTGGCCGCAATGACCCGGATTGTATGTGACAAACGCCTGCAGAGGACCTCGTTTCGTGTGATATAATAAGATGATCGCTGATTTTGCGGGACGTTAAAGAAGCCACCTACGAGCGCAATTTCGTGTCGTTCGTTGTCTTCGGTCCACGCTTCCTGGAACTTGACCCAAGTAAATCGAATTGACTCACTTGGTGATTCTGGGAAGTAGATGGCGCGCCTCATCGCCTCATTTGGACGCTGGACATACTCTGCTCGAGTGTTGCAGAGTGTCTGATGGGCCTTGGAATCTGCGTTGCTACAAGCAGACGTGCAGTAGGAGATAGAGTCGCATACATGGCAGACAAGCTTGCTTGCACTCGGGCACATGAGACATGGCGTTGTCGCATCAGAACTAGCGAGCCTCGAGAGCGTTCGGCGAGAAGACGCATCCTGACTACGCCTACTTGAGAGATTGGAGGATTTTGGATGTGATGTTGGTGTAGATTCGGTGGGTTTTGGTGAATCTGTAATGTCGCGAAGCACTGTAAACAGTTCTGTAGGTGTTGGTTGAGGACTCGGTGCCGTGTCGGGCTGGTGATCAGCATCAGGTTCTGGCTTTACTTGAGCCGTTTCGTTGTCGAGATGTGCCGTCGCCCGAAGAAAATCCTCGTCCATTGTAACTGTCATTGTCGTGTTGCTGGGGAGGTGGTGAGAGACGCTCGCATGTCAACAGTAAGATGCGTATAGATGCTAGCGTGAAATCGAAAATGGAAGGAACGATTGTGTTCCACCCCTGGATGTGAAGCCATGGCGACAACAAGGTGACCCTCTTCAAACGCAAATCCCGTCTCTTGAAAAGGTTGAATAGCTCTCATTTTGTATTAGAATCTATGAGTATCCAGCCGTGCGTCTTGATTAGTGCCTAATATCTTCCCTACCAGCCAACACAAGTGCATTGATAGTGCTCAGTATAAGGAAAACTTAACCGACATTTTGATTTCGGTATTCTTGCAAGTGATAGCAATACCATAGCTTGTTGGCCCAAAGCGACTTAGACGAGGCTCTGAAGCAGGTGAAGTCACGGAGCGAACTCAGCACCCATCAATACCGAGATAAGCGTTCATGAAAGGACCCCCAGCATCTGTTCATGGTGACTGGCAAGATACGAATGTGCGTAGCTATACGTCGAGGACTATGTTGTATATGCTGAGGAGTGTGCGCGTTCTTTGAAAAACGATGATGTCAAGCTCGGCGCTAGCTACTGGTAAGCCTTGCTCAGCCTTGCAAAGCTGTTGTTGTGAGACGAGATTACAACCACTTGCTACAATTGTTTTGATGTGAATCATAGCTTAAAAGGGCACTCATGTTTTCATCGTTGATGTATTCTATATATTACCTAATCCTTCCTCTCACGACCTTAGACCTGCTGAATGGTACACAAATCGAGCATCAATTACTCAATCGACTAAGAAATGTACGCCAGTGAATGGCCCTTATAGGTCCATCATCCGTATCTTGGAATTTTGATGTTTCCACCAGATTTCTAGAGTTTTGACATAGGCCTGAGGATTGCACGAAGAATGCAACACTTCCATCTATACACCAATCCCACAGCCCGGCCAGCGTCTACTTCTAATAATGATCGTAGAACTCATTGCTTGTCACGTGCCGTTGGGATATAAAATCTACACAATTTTCTCAAGGATGTTTGGCGGGCCGAGAAGAAGCACAACCAATACCGTACTAACATCATGCAAAATCGCACCAGCTCAAAAAACAGGGCCGTCACCACAAATAAGATTTGCGAGTGCACTCTAACTTGTGCTCATCCACGAAATCACGGAAAAACATCAATGGTCTCCCGGCTTGCATATGCAGATAAGGTTTCCATCCACCCGCGCACCTCGCCTAAATTGCCTAGGTGGTATCAATCCGCCGGATCGGCTGTAACATACCGGTACTATGCGTGTGTTCCGATGGCTATGTCGCTACTCACCAGACGCCCCAAACCATAGCTAGGACAACGAGAGTTTGTATACTATGATAGGGCAGGGCTCTAATTGTAGATCAAGTGTAACAATCACAGACGGCACTTTGGTTGATATACTACGGTACGATTCCTGCGTGAAATCGGATCCGATTCATACCGCCCCTGGCATGCACGTACCCTCGAAGTGGGTTCTGCCGGAGACGCCCTGCTTTCTATTCTCCGAATTAGTGCAGTCGTCGACGACGGTAAAAAGAATACCTTTTGTGGAAGAATTCAAGTCATGTCGTCGGTATACATAGGGGATGTGCACAGGGTCCGGGCTTTGCTGGGCTGGATCTTGAGACTCAACAACAACAAGAGGCTAGGCCGCCTATTGGATGAGATAGATTAGGTTCTTCATTGCCAAACCTACCATGACTCGAGTGACGCATGGTAGGCTTGTGACTTGTCAAGTGGCGACACAACCTCAGCGTAAGGCGGGTACTTCACCTCAGAGGAGGCTGGTGCTGTTCACGATGACTGATAAATTTCCAGCTTCACTGGTGCCCACCGATAATTATGATCTCGGGACATACAATTGAGGGCCATGGATGGCCCAGATGTTGTGTGCATGAACACCAGATGCGCAGTCTCACCGACCCGCACGTCGGCGGGACCACAACACTTTCGACGTGTAACTGATCGAACTAGGCGTCTGCTACAGAAAGGACTCGATATATTACATTGTACGCATGCCATCTTGTAGCAGCGCTCCATAATACATATCTCAAATCGTCGCATTAGAGCCCTCTTGTCCATAAACTCAGGATGGACGAAGTACATTATTTTTTAATGTATACACCACATGATGTCTCCCCGACATCAAAGCTCAGTCCCAATCCCGTTCGCGTACCAGTCCTCGACTGCTCTCAGGGTTTCCCGGCTGAAGAAGTCGGTGAAGCTCCCAATGTTCTTATAGCCACGAATAGCTGGGAAGATACGCCATCGCCTATGGGCATCGTCTGAACACCTCATGACATTTGATGCGAGCAGTGCTGTCTCTATGAATCTGGTGGCTTGTGCTTGCATATGATTTTGGACGTGAACCGCAATCTCCAGCTCCTTCATATTCTCTTCTAGATCCGCAAACTCCCATGCGTCAAGAGACTTCATGGACCAGTCGCTGACATGAACCGAGACTATGCATCTGTGCGTAACATAGCTAACGCTATCGAGCTGCCCAATCCACTCTGATATCAATGCATCCATGTTGATGCAATTCATCTCAATACGATTGACTGCTGGCCAGAGCAAGGCTGGTGCGAAACGGCGCAGGAAGCCAAGTGCCTCAACACCAGCCCGAAGCTGCAGGTCCGACTCAGGAGCCCGGCATCGCTTGGGAATCGAGTATTGGTACATTGAGAACACGTTAAACTTGATTAAGTTGACGCGGAATACTAGCCCGCTAGTCTCATTATAAAGTGCGCGGCAAGTCCTTGGTAAAGCATTGATGCTCTCAAGCATTGCTATTGGGAGATCCTGATCCTGATAGCCTTTCATTGTCCCTACCCGGTGTCCGCTTCGATAATTTCTCCAGATGAAGGACAATCCTTCTGGTACATGTAGAGCGTGCTTGGAAATCATGAGACGGACTTCAATGGGAAGTTCCATGAAGCGGAACGGCCCTCGCTTATGAAGACAATGATAGAAGAGAGATGAAGTGGCAGGCCTGCTACCACGATCGCGAGAGGGAGGCGATAGGGTGACAGTATCTGCAATATTATTTCGAAAGGTACCACCGGAGAGGAAGCTGAGCACATAATAAGTACTCGTGTTCTTCACATCTTCACAGAGCTCACTTTTGTATATTTTTGTTCAGGTTCCCTCGCTCCAAAGGGCTGAAATTTCCAAACACAATCGATGCTATTGAAAGAACGGCGACATCCGCCGGACCCTTGGTGGCGGGGACGTGTATCTCAATATTTTCGTTCCTGCAATTTTCAGGAGATTCGATACCAAGAGTGCAGTCGTTTGACTGAGGCAGGACTCTGAGATCGGTGCACACTTGCAATTGCGACGCAACGCGGACCTCGCTGCTGTCGCCGCCATCTTCAATCATGATGATAAAGTTGTCGAATGCTGATAGTGTATGGCCGAGACCTTGAAATGATTTTGTTGTTTTGGAGTAAAGTGCGAGAAGAGTGGGGAAGAAATTTGGCAGGCACATTGGCGAGGTGAGTCCTGTCACGAAGGAAGTCGCGACTATCACGAGAAGCGGCAAGTACGACTCGAGCCGCGCCTCGCCTCGAATCTAAAGCCGGATCGCGGCAAAGCATAGATGGAGATAGGTTTATTTGCGAGGTTACAGAATCTTGATTTCAATGTGTATGGATTCTGTGCGTATGTACCGGATCCCTAAGTTCGGATCCTGGCAAAAGTACCTGTCCAGAACAGGCATCCAGTGTTGTTATCATAGTTTTCGCAACTGTTACTACACAAATAATCGCCATGGCCAAAACACCCAGAGTTATGCTGGTTCTATGTATGGAGTAGACACGACATTTGTAGATTCTTGGGGCTGCGCTAATTCGAGTTAGGTACATTACCGGTAAGTTAGGTAGGTAGGGCTGACGTCTGACGCCATTCATTGCTGACCCATATCATCTCCAAGACTACGTATAAACTCACACGATTGAACATCAGACAAGCTTACTCTGCGGCGCATATACTGTGACTTATAACACACAATGTGCGCATAGAAATGGACGGCTTGTCGGAGGTATTTTACCCCAAACTCGTACCCTCAAGATGACCGGCAATCTCTGCCCAGCAAGGCTACGGGCTTCGCATCAGGACCGACGTCAAAATACAAGCTTCCGACGCAATGGAAAATTGCAGGCGTGCGAGCCATGTCGAAAAGCAAAGCTTCGATGCGACCACATGATGCCAACATGTGGACGATGTGCTCGGCGCAATAAGATAGACAAGTGTGTCTATCATCCTGCACCTCTGACGAAGACTGGCTCAGCCTCAGGTCCACGACACACGAGTCTCGAGAGCAGCAGTTCAGAATCTCTTGGGCCAGATACCCTCATCATGGACTATACTGAATATGAAATCCAGGATAGGATGCCAGACATCGACGAGGCACACACAATGCGCCGGACGCTATCACAGCCTCTGCCATCTATTTCCAATCTGATTGAAGAAAACTCAGTTACAGCAATTGGAGTCGTTGGTGCGTCAGACTCCTCTGATTCCGGAGCGAATAGTCTATCCATTTCAGCTGAGGATCAACCCCAGCAATCAAGACTACAACAGCAACGATCGTCGGCAGACCAAGCCAGTTGGGAAGACGTACATCATTTCGACAACAAGGCGGCGTTTATCAATGATTTTGCAGTGTTGGCCGAGAATGAATTAAGTATAGGCATTCAGCCGCCAACGCTCAACACTGTACTGGTGTCTCAAGTCACGCAGTCGCACATTGATCGGGGTGCAGCCGTCCTCACTCTGTTCAAAGACTTTCAGGGTATACAGAGGTATATTGACAAGTGGTTCGCATTCGCTGGTGGCTTCGTTGTGCTCGGTCCCATGGTCAAGATTTACATGGATGGCATATGGTCATCGTGGCACAAGACCTTGGAGGTCCAAAAGCCTGCAGACCTTAAACGTATGTCTGAAAAGATCTGGGAAAACACATTGAAGCCGGTCTCCCGGCTCTTAAATCGACATACTACGACCCGAGGCTTTTGTGCAAACGTCACAGGGGAACTAGTGAGATGGGAGATCATTGGTATCATCATAACACTAGTATCTCTTCTCGCACAATCCCTTAAAGGTGAGAATTGCACTCAGTAAAATGCAACCTTGCTGACATAGGATATAGACGGAGACCCGATCTTTTGCAGTCCTGAAGATGTCCCGGTAGATCGCGCTACTCTTGCCCTTCGTATGCTCAATGGATCAGAGATGTGTGTCAGCTTCTGCGATGATTTCAAGATTCTCAACGATCTGTACCTGGCTCTTTTGTATGAAAACTCGATCGCGTATTATACTATGCGAACAAGAGCGAGTAAGTAGGGCCTCGGTATTTATTATCGTATCTTGCAATCTGGTTCACTAAATTGCTTGAGTTAAATCTACATGGCGAACATTATGGCTAATAAGAGACAGGCTACGAGAACAGTAAGAAGATAGCAGCCCTGAGTGCTGCGGCCATTTGCTGCAATTTACATCGTGATATCAAAGTCGACGATGATACACCATTCTTCATCACCGAGCTTCGGAAGCGCCTTTGTATGTCCTGTCCCATATGTCAGGACTAACGCTGACGATGATTACAGTCATTTGCGGTTACGCAAACGATAAACGCGTCGCCATTTCCGCAGGAAAACCTCCTACTATGACGAGACATTATTGTCAGCTTCAGGTTCCTCTGGATCTTACAGACGCCCAGATGATGTCAGAGGGACTTGACCTTCAGACCGCAGTCCAGGATCTCGACGAAGAAGGTTGGAACCGACGCAACAAAATACATAGATGTACCTACGCTCGACTCAATGCAACCAACGCTCTCATTGCGGAAGAAATCTTAGAAATCTCGCTAGGGCACTTGTCACAGGAAGAGATTATGCGACGGGCAGGGGAGATTGAGGCCAAGACTAACAAATGCTGGGCAGAGTTGCCAGAATTCCTCAGAATCAACATAGAGGATCCTTGGAACTCCAAAAGATCGCCTCTTGAGCTCATTTTTCTGGTAATTATCCGTTTAGGTCATTTGGAGCATCATTTTCTGCTGCAGCGGACCATCAGCAAAACAGCAGGGTTTGGACCAGCTAATCCGAATGTCAATCTGCTACCTGTCTGCGATGAAATCTTCCGCTTTGTTCTTCTAATGGCGGAGAATAAAGATTACTTTCGAGACTACCAAACGGACTATATCCAGATGCTCGCAGTGCACGGTGTGCCCACAGCTGCAGTCCTTGCAGTCGAGCTCCTACATCAGGAGCGCAATCCTACCGCACTTTCTACACTTTCCTACCCACTACATCGGTCCGAAACAATTCAACGTCTTTCCGTCTTCGTATCCTGTCTTGGCTCTATAAGAACCGAAGCCTACGGCTCACAAAATTGTGGTAGAGGCCACAGGTTTCTTAAGAAGATCCTCGACATGATACTGGGGCCTGGACCTGCTGCTAATACTGCTATCATTTCGCCTTCGGGTTTCGATGATTTGAACGATCCTACACTTGGTGCTCCGTTATTGCAGGCTGGCAGTGACGGAGATTTCGTGAAATGGCTAGAGAGCATGGAATGGGACCAGGACACATGGCTGAACTTCAATTAATCAATTTATTGAGCAATTCAAAAATTTGTCTGGGCCATTGATATCGTTCGTATGTGTTAGGTGACACTAGAGAGGTATGTCGGGTGTTTTGCGAGACGTCCAAGTCTGCGCGACACAAGCTCAAAGCATGTCCACAACCACTTAACTAGTGTGTAGTTATAGCAGTTTAAGTCATGGCCCACATTTTCTCCTCGTATTGGCTTAGGATGGGGGTCGTTACACCCAATCGGATTTGAGAAGAAACTGGCCGCACGTCAGGTCTGTGGCGTACGTCACGACTTACCATCGACAGATATATACGGTGCATTAGAACAACTTAGAAAGAATACCAAACAATATACTCGTGTATAACAAGAGCACCAAAAAACAAGATAAAGGCCACTTGAACCGGAAGTCCTTGAACAGCATCTCACTTGAGCACTGCTGCATGATCGCCACTGACTTCACTGGAGTACTTGCAATAGGTACAAAGGTAAGTAAGCGGTTAATCGCACGGACATCGTCCAACGATACATCAGCTGTTGCAAATTGCTACAAGCCCCATCTGCCATGCCCTACATCGCCACTCAACCCATTGCTCACATGTATTGCAGACACAGACGAGAACGCCTTCTTACACAGACTACTCAGTCACGTTAGCAAGACTACTGCAGCTCACGCCCCGTAAGACGCCGACTTGAAGTAGTGGCAGTCCCAACTTGTTACGAGGCTTCACCAATCCGTTGCACAACATCAGTGTCCTACCATGGCTGCTCTTCTTGCTGTCGGTATCGGGCTTGGCGCAGAAAAGCTTGGTCGGAAGATTTCAGACAAAAGACTTGAGAGGAAAGAGAAGAAGAACATTGCTGTATGCTGTCTTGCCATGGGCAGAGGTCTTGTGTGTTGATAACTCGAAACAGGAATATGAGGCACGTTATGGAGTGGTCGAGTCGTCATCATCATCCTCCGCCTACGCTACACGAGAAAAGCAAAGCCGCGTTGAGAAGAAACAGGAGGAAGCACAGCGTGAACTTCGAGCAGCACGACAGGATGTCCAGGAAGTACCTGAACATGTCAGTTGGCGGCATAGTGTAGGTGAATGTAGATTTAGTGAGGAAGCACCGCCACCGAGGTACGAAGATGTTGTCCAACAAGGCGCAAGACTGAAACGGGACTTGTAACTCAGGCTGTGAAATGAGCGCAATAAGAGGAAGAAGACAGTATGAACAGATTTGTTTCATCGTTTGATCCAGAGTATTTTCTGTTATGGGTAGGCTTTGCTTGCACTCTACTATGGGATTGTACAGCCATTGAACTCGTTGTCATAGTTCAGTGTTTTGTCCGGATATACGGCTTGAATATTCCCAGAACGGCGTTGGACTGCCTACGCGAACGTCTGGAAAAGATCGGAGAGGTCAGCTGCCTCGTGATTGCGAGAGCCACTACACTTGATAAGTACTAAACAAAGACTTGGAGCCGCATTGGGTCGAGGTCATGCGAGTCGGCCCTTGTCGTCTAGACCTGCCTCGAGTCTCAACTTCATCTGTGATATGCAACTTCTCGACGTACAGGCGCATGGTTCGGCCATTGACCACCAACAAGGCCAATATCAACCCAATCTCGAATGGTCCCAAGGCCACCCGTTACCAGGAGAGATGGGACCCGCATCTTCCCAACATCCAGGTTTATAGGTGAAACGCCACACCTGGCATTCCCACAGCTTGTGTAACCTGCCAGATCAGCACCAGTTTTCCCATTCCTCCTTCCCAATCCGGCGGCCGACAAACACCAAGATACTGTCTTTCACCGTGACTGTAGCCGCAAAGAAATCTCACGATGTTGCTCACGCGCATGGGCACTGACCACGCCGCTGCTTCCGTCCCTGGACGTGCGGTACGTCACTGTGCAAACGCTCTGCGTCCCACCCACAATATAAGCCCGCGTCCTCCTCAACGCCCTTCTTTTTTTTTCTTTTTTTCTTGCATACTTTCGCTCCTCCTCCTCCCTTGCTTCAACCCACGTTTCTCAGCCTCATTCCATACTACACTTGCTACCCCTTGCTTACACCGAGCCTACACACCATCAACACGTAACAGCCATACGCTTTCGAAATGGTTCGTGTCACGCGTGATCGCGCCGAGGCGCCGGTCACCATGCGTGGCTATGCTCTCTGCGTCTTTGCGGCCTTTGGTGGTATCCTGTTCGGCTATGACTCGGGCTACATCAGTGGCGTGCTGGCGATGAACTACTTCAAACAGGAGTTCGGAAGTGAGTGTTTACCTAGCTACAGTGACGCGTGACTTTGGGGTATGACTCTATACTAACAAAGTCCTCAGGCCCTTCGACGGACTCGACTGCTTCTGATGGTCTCCTCTACCGCACTTGGGAGAAATCACTCATTGTGTCGATCCTGTCAGCGGGTACCTTTGTTGGTGCGCTCGTAGCCGGAGCGTTCGCTGACTGGATTGGCCGTCGTGCTACCATCATTTCTGGCTGTGGTATCTTCTCTCTCGGTGTCGCCCTCCAAGTTGCGTCAACCACGGTCGCTCTGCTCGTCGCCGGTCGTCTCATTGCAGGTCTTGGTGTTGGCTTCATCTCAGCTATTATCATTCTCTACATGAGTGAGGTTGCGCCCAAGGCAGTCCGCGGTGCTATTGTCTCTGGATACCAGTTCTGCATCACCATCGGCCTCCTCTTGGCTGCGATCGTCGACAATGCTCTCAAGGACCGCATGGACACTGGCTCATACCGCATTGCCATGGCCATGCAGTGGCCGTTTGCCCTGATCCTCGGTATCGGACTCTTTATGCTACCCGAGTCTCCTCGCTGGTATGTCAAGAAGGGCCGTACTGAAGATGCTGCAAAGGCACTTGGTATTCTTCGTGGTCAGCCCCTCAACTCGACCTTTGTGAGGGATGAGCTCAAGGAACTCATTGCGAACCATGACTATGAGATGCGTCATATGAGAACTGGTTGGATGGACTGCTTCCGCGGTGGATTCAAGCGTCCATCTAGCAATCTCCGCCGGGTATGTCTCGGTATGGCGCTTCAGATGATGCAGCAGGTAAGTTGGGATTTGCTTTCATTCTCACAATACAGCGTGACTCACAAATCATAGTGGACTGGAGTGAACTTCATCTTCTACTATGGTTCCACCTTCTTTCAATCGGTCGGCATCAAGAATGCCTTCGTCATCTCCATGATTACCAGCGCCGTCAATGTGGGCTCCACACCCATCTCCTTCTGGACCATTGAGAAATTCGGTCGACGCATGCTCCTCATCTACGGCGCCGTTGGTATGCTCGTCTGCGAGTTTCTCATCGCCATTGTCGGTACTACTGCCCACGAAGGAAGCAAGGCCGCATCTACCTGCTTGATTGTCTTCACGTGTTTCTACATCTTCTTCTTCGCCTCAACCTGGGGTCCTGCTGCATGGGTCGTCATTGGCGAGATCTTCCCTCTGCCCATTCGTGCAAAAGGTGTCGCGCTATCCACCGCTTCAAACTGTACGTCTCCCACTCTGTCGATGCTTTGATGAAAAGATAGCATACTAATAACATTGCAGGGCTTTGGAACTTCGTCATTGGCTACATCACACCCTACATGCTCGACGAGGACAAGGGCAACCTCAAGTCCAAGGTCTTCTTCCTTTGGGGCGCTACCTGCACTGCCTGCGTCGTCTTTGCCTACTTCCTCGTTCCGGAGACCAAGGGCCTCTCGCTCGAGCAGGTTGATCGTATGCTCGAGGAGACTACGCCACGCAACTCTAAGAAGTGGATTCCGCACCTGACAAACGAGGGTGACACCTCGTCGCTCGAGAGCAAGCACAAGAACCCGAGGGGGCCTCGGGCTGTGTTCCGTGAGCACAGCGAGGTTTAGGCCTGTCTTGTCTTGTCTTGTCTCGATGATGGGATTGGATTCGATTGAACTAAAGTAAATTGGCATTGATCTGACCGTGTGTTCCTAGCTTGCTTAGCGTGGGTGGGCATCTTTTCTCTTTGAATATGGGACTCTGGTCTGGGTGCTAGCATGGTGTTTGGGGCGTGGGTTTCTGTGGCCAAGGATATGATGAACTTTGTTTCTGTCTTGGTTGAGAAGTGGGTGAGTGGGTGATGGAGTGGCGAATGCCAATGGCACATTTTCCTTTTCTTTGCTCTTCTTTTCTTTGCGGCCTAGATGGATGATCACCGCTTCGTCGGTTTGATCAGAGACTCGAGCCATTGTGGGGGTTTGCCTTTACATGGATTCTTGCACTCGAAGAATTGGGTACATGACTGAGATGAATGTAAATGCCTGGTGTACAGATCAATGGGTACAACTGGCTTTATTATGGAAATGCTTCTTCATCTTGTGGTTCCCCGTTGTTCTGTGCTGCCTGTGTGCAAGGAATGACAAGTCAGATCAAGTGTGTATAGATTCCAATGCGCCCAAGCTATGCATGCGCAGTCCTAGTTCTGGAAATACTCCTCAAAGGTAGATAGATGGGTAGAAGGGTTACATGCGTCTCTTGACCCTCGTCAGCGCCCTCTCGACAACCGCCCTCCCCAACACGGGTATACTGTGTACTCCATCCTCATCCCCACCCTCTTCCGCACCACCTTCTTCTTCTCCGCCTTCCCCGCCAGCACCACCATCACCATCATCGCCACTCTTGCCACCCCTGACCTCCCTGACTACCCACCTCCCGGCCCGACTGCCCAACCCCCTCCAGATATCCAACGGCAAATAATCTCCCTGCGCCCTCGTGAACGCCTCTCTCGCCCTTTCATCCTCCTTGCCCAAGCGGTCCAGCTCCCTCTGCGCCTCGGCCGCCTTCTTTGCCATCTTCTCGTAGCGACGCCTGCGTGCTGCGATTTCAACCAGCAGTTCGGCGTAGGCGAGATCGAAGCGCGTGTAGAATTCGCGTTGGGTCGAGGCCTCGTCTATGCCGGTGAGAAGGGCGGGGCGGGTGTGAGAAGTGTAATGTGTGTGAAAGGTGTGGGAGGCGGCGATGTGGGATTTTGCAGCGATGGAGGTGCGGGAGAGAATGTGGAGGATGGAGGAGAGGGCGGTGGATTCAGAGCGAAGGTGGGAGATATGGTTTGTGAGGTGGTTGACGAGGTAGTCCATTTCTGTACCGCGGAGACGGATTTCCGAGATGACGGCGTCAACTTGGAGGGCGTCTTTGTGGAGGATGGTGAGCATGTGGTTGCGCTCTTCTTCGCTGATGGGGTCCGGCGAGATTGGGTCGGCAAAGGTGGGCGACGAGTGCGAGGGCATGGGTGTATCGGCAACAGCTTGGGTTGCCGCAGCGGAACCGCCTTCTGTGTGGCGGAGGGCTGTGATGCAGAGGTCATAGTGGGAGACTAGAGATTGGAAGGCTTGGGCTACCTCTTTGGCATGGGTTTCCAGTTCGTGGTAGAGAGCTGGTATTGGGCTGGGGTTGTCTGGAGAGGATGGCGTGATAGGGACATTGTCAAGGGAGGAGTGGAGGTTGTCAAGGGAGGTGTCGAAGGCGTCGGTGCTGTCGTCGAGGGCAGCGTGGGCTTCGTTGTGGCGGTCTATACAAGCGCGGAGGTCGGCTTCGAGGTTGGAGACGGTGGCACTGTCGATGAAGTCGTAGAGGTGTTTTTGCGGGGTGCCAGGGGGCTGAAGGACGGCTTCAATGGGGGTTTCGCGGAGGATGGTGAGGGTGGCGGTCAGGCCTGAGAAGGCTGTGTCGACATCGTGGAGGAGCTGCTTGTATTCGACCTCGACTTCAGATTCGACAACGTGTACCCCTCGGCGGATGGCTTCGAGGGCGTCGACTTGCTGCTCGACAATGGCACGAATGGCCGCGTTCTTTGCTGCCAGGACCGCGTTTTCTTCGAGCAGGTCGCGTGCGGTGCTGACTATTTCTGTGGCCCGCCAGAGTACTGTTTGGGTGTTTAGTGAGCGCTTGGATGCGACAAGGTAGTTGACGAGATCTTCCAGCGTATGGGGGCGACTCATGTCTTGTTCGACGGATTGTCGCGAAGCCACACTGCTGGTGGACGAGGCTGGAGACGGCGAGGCCATAGCCAAGGCCAGACTGACGCGCTGTTGCGTGATGGACAGAGCAAATGGGATGGATAGGAGCAGTCTCAAGGGCTATAGAGTAGTGGGTCATCCAGGCCGTAGGGTTCCACAGTCATCATCCATCCACAGTCAACTCAACGGTCAAGGGCATGTGGCAATGCATCATCACCGCCGTGGGAGGGAGACTCGATGACGGAGATGGCAGACGAACTGGAGCAGCGACAAGTCTCCTGTAGCGGATAGATGCACAGCAGGATTGTGGTAGAGTACTGGCAGTGCAGCTGCATGTGAGTTGGGATGGATGATGTGATGGTGGGGGTGGGGGAGAGAGAGAGAGGGGAGGGTTTGTTGGGTTCAGGTTCCGCAGCCTCCCAGCCTCAAAGGTGGTCGACCAGGGACGCGCTAGAGACAAGCGGGCAAAGGCTGGAAATCTTGGTCTTCATGATTGATGTGTCAAGGCAAAAAGTCGGGGTCCCAAGGCTTAGAGTAGTACATGCGGCGGAGGAGGAAGCTTATCTTGTGCAGACTGGACTCTACGAGTAGAGGAGGAGTGGCAGGGTGAGGGCTTCGGAAGCGGAGTCAAGGTCATGGCCACTACCTACTTGCAGTCCTGTAGCTGGGATTCCAATTCCAGACGGGGGGCCACGATTGTATATTGAAAAGTGTGTTCACTACTGCCTAGGCCTAGTACTCAACTGCCAATGCTACTACTCTAGGAATAATACGGTAGAGGATGCAAATCCATTGTAGTACAAGCCACAGACCGGTCATGCCTTTGCGCGGTGGCGAGAGTGAGTCCAATGGCCGACTGACTCGGACCAGAATGGCGGATGGCGGATTGCGTGCTTTTGGGCAAGATGCGATTGAGGTCCAACATTGCGCCATCGAGGCGAACAGGGCCAAATAGCCTGCACGCCTGCTGCAACCCTCCAAGCTTTTCTATCGCCACAACCACAACCACAACCACAACCACAACCACAACCACAACTTGAACATCTCCCCACCACCGTTTCCGTAACCGTGAAACGCTACAGCCGTCTCGAGTCCAATCGAGTCCTACAGCACACCCGAGCACTGGGACCACTCGCACGCCATCTCGCCGCCAAATGACACGCACGGCAGCGCAGACCTACTGACTGTGCCCACCATAAACGGACGGTTGACTAGGAGTAACGTTATAGGATCGTGCGCTGTGCGGGCCGGAACCTCTGAGTCTCTGACGGAATCCCGGCGCCCACGCCGCACACCAGTACGCCTGGCCTCAGCTCACGCTCACCACTCTCTGGTCTGGGTGACCAAGGCCAAAGATGGTGTCACCCACTGCCCAGTTGCTCGACACAGTCGCAAACGACCATCACGCCCACCTCCCTGCGCCCAAGCGACGGCGCTTGTCATGGCGCACCCATACCCCCGCCGCCCCAGACGACTTCACAACGCACACTTCCCATGATCCACACACGGCCCTGATGCGCGGCCACGACCACCAAGGTCTCTCGGAGCGGACACGACACCTCGACACAGTAGAGGCAATCGAGGAGGCTGCCACGACCAAATCGAAGAAGATTGAGAAAATGATCACGCCATATCTCGCCCAGCACATTCCGCAACAGTACAACCCAGTTGGCGCAAATGGCACCAGCGCCCACAACCACCATCCTGCCCATGGCCATGACGAGACCCATGCCACGGCGAACACAAAGTTCTGCTACCGCCACCGTCCAGACCTGCTGTGTCGACGACAAGCAGACGAGCCCAGCATGGAACAGTTGCAACAGGTACAGTCAACACCCCACTCACCTCTCATCGTCTTTCGCGAATGCTAACAAGGACTGTAGGAACTAGGCCGAGAATCGCAAGCAGACCAACAGAGCATCGCTACCGTCTGGTCGCTCTTCTCCGCCGCTCCCTCGCGACACCGCAATCTCATGCTCCAGGGCATCCTCGCCCAATGCTGCTTCCCCCAACTCTCCTTCATCTCCTCATCCGTTCGCAATCTCATCAAAATCGACTTCCTCAGCGCCCTGCCCACGGAACTCGGCTTCAAGATCCTCTGCCATCTCGACACCACATCGCTCTGCAAGGCCGCCCAAGTGAGTCGGAGATGGCGACAACTGGCCGACGACGATGTGGTCTGGCACAAGATGTGCGAGCAACACATTGACAGAAAGTGCACAAAGTGTGGTTGGGGCCTGCCATTGCTGGACCAGCGTCGTCTGCGACACGAGAAAAGGAAGATTCAACTACGAGCGTCTGGACGTGATTCAAATCAGTGGTCGCCCGACGTGTCACCCGTACCCGACATCTCCTCGCCGCCCGCCCCGCTCGCTCACAGTATATCGAATGCATCCGATTCGACAAGTGGCGCCAAGCGCGCCGCCTCGGATGAGGCGGCCTCATCAGGGACACTCAGTAAACGACAGTGTGCGACGGGTGTCACTTCGGATGAGCTAGCACCCTATTTCGAATTGCAGAAGAAACGCCCGTGGAAAGACGTCTACAAGGACCGTTACAAAGTCGGCACCAACTGGAAATATGGACGTTACTCGACTAGGATTCTCAAAGGTCATGCTAACGGGGTCATGTGCCTCCAGTTTGACGATAAAATACTCATCACTGGCTCCTACGACACCACAGTCAAGGTCTGGGATATCACGAGTGGTAAGGAAATTCGGACCCTCACTGGCCACTCCCAGGGCGTCCGGTGTCTACAGTTCGACGACCATAAATTGATTACTGGAAGCTTGGACGGCAGCATGAAGATTTGGAATTGGCGAACGGGCGAGTGTCTCAAGACGCTGGGTGGGCACTCACAGGGCATCATCGGCCTTCATATGGTGGATAAGCTACTCGCATCTGGGTCCTCTGATTATACCATTGTCATCCACGATTTTGAAAACTATCAACGCACCAAGCTCCGCGGCCACACAGACTGGGTCAACGCAGTAAAGATTGACCTTCCATCACGCACCCTCTTCTCCGCCTCGGACGACATGACCGTCAAGCTGTGGGACCTCGATAGCCAACGCTGCATCCGTACCTACGAAGGCCACGTCGGCCAGGTTCAACAGGTGCTTCCGCTACCCCACGAGTTTGAAATCGACGAGGATGACTTTGCACCCAATGCCAACAACGACAACTCGGACACGGCATCCCTCTCATCCGACACTCCACAACACCACCACCCCGACGAAACCCACCGCTATCCCTCTCTGTCTTTCTCCAGAAAAGCCTCAACAAACAAGCACGAAACATCCTCCTCCTCCTTCTTCCCCCACGATCTTACTCGCCCCAACCCCCCTTCCTACATGCTCACTGGCTCCCTCGACGGCACCATCCGCCTCTGGCACGTGCCCAGCGGCCGCTGCGTGCACCGCTTCTTCGGCCACGTCGAGGGCATCTGGTCGCTTGCCGCGGATTCGCTGCGACTGGTGAGTGGGGCCGAGGACAAGACGATTAAGATTTGGGATCCTAGGACGGGAAAACACGAGCGTACGTTGACGGGGCACACGGGACCTGTGACATGTGTGGGGTTGAGCGATGAGAGGGTTGTGAGTGGGAGTGAGGATGGGAGTGTGCGGGTGCATTGTTTTGTTTAAGGGAGGGTTGTGGTTGTGATTGTTGTGGCTGGGGCATGTGGTGGGTTGTTTTGGGAAGAGCGTGGATTGCGTATACCATGTTTTATTATATGTGTGTGTTCTTTGGCGCTCCTGTCGTTTAGCGATTCCTTTTACCTTTTTTTTTCCTTCTTTTTGTCGAGGATAGGAGTTTTCTATGGTTGCTTGTCTATGCATGTAGCGGTGTTGCGCGTGTGTGTATGAAGATACCCCCCCCCCCCCCATCCCCCGTTTCCTCTACCACAGAAAGTTACGGTTGGTACTTTCAAATCTAATCATTCTGCTACACTCCACATTCCCTCTTTCAAGGTCCTGGTTTCCTATTTCCCCTGGAGGGAAGATGGGATGGGATGGGCAAGGCTGAGAGTAGGGCGTGGTACGCTGTGGGTATTTTGGGACGTGCTTTGGCCATGGAGGTACTTTGGCCATTAAGCTATAAAATTTCGCCATCAAGGTATGAATTTCACCATCAAGGTATGCATTTCACCATCAAGGTAAACATGCCACCATCAAGGTAAACATGCCACCATCAAGGTAAACATGCCACCATCAAGGTAAAAATGCCACCCTTTAAGCTCGCCATCAAGGTCCACCACCATTCTGCCATTTAGCTGTGGATTTCGCCGCTGAGCTCAGCTCGCCATTTAGGTGCCCCATCTCGCCAGACAGGTTCCCCTCGCGAATATACGTTGATTGTGGTTTTTGTCTGGTTACGCTTGGCGAGGTACGGTAGGTACGTGCTTGTAGGGCGCAAGACGTGCTTTGTCGTTTGCTGTGGTAGGTAGGTAGGTATGCTGTGATTGGATAGGGTAGGTGTGGCTTGTTTGGTTAGCTGGTTGCCTTGGTTTACCGTAGTGTTGGAATTGGTTGAATGCTTTCAAGTGCTGTTGTATTGTATCATGACATCGTACTGTACTATCGTGATTGTGCTGCATTGTATAGACAAATTGTACACACACATTCAGCCCAATCTCCCATACACGGCGAAAATTAAGGCAGAAAGCTTTGATTTTTCTCTGCCCTCTTGGCCCCCTCCTCCCCCTCCTCCCCTCCCTCCGCGGCTTCGATGGTAGAGCACGTGGTACAATCCCACATTGTTCCCACTACATGGATAAATGGCTCAACTGCAGTAGAAACCTACCCTACCGTAACAACTTTGACATCCTTTACTTTTGCCCTTGTTCCTTTCCAAACTTCCAGCTACCCTGCGGCCTTTGAGCTGCAGCAGCGTCGGGAATAAACCCGTAACGTCAGGTTAGTCACCATGCCTAGGTAGGTACCAGTACCCAGGTACCCAGAAGCAAAGTTCAAGCTACCCTCGATGATCTGAGTGGTTTTTCCCACCGAATGCTACCCTATCCAGCTCCATGGACGTGCTCGTGCTTTTTTTGCCTTTTCATCTTCAACGACGGCTTTGACGTGATGTGACGTGATGTGATGTGACCTGACGTCGTGCCGTACCCAGGACGCTGGCGCTCTGGATGTACATCGTACAGTAGTTGCTGCGTGTGGCGGTGAGGCAGGGGGAGGGAGGCGAGGGCGCGGGATCAGCAATGCGTAATGAGGTGGGAAATGTGCGACGTGAGGGATTTACTTTGAATCTGGATGGTGAGGGGTAGATGGGGTGGGGATTGGTGTGGCGTGTGTGGGGTTGGTACCGTGATGGGGTGTGTATGTTCAGGGATGCATGTGTGCATGTATGACTATATATAAGTATAAGAGAGCGTCTGATGTGTAGGAGAAGAAAGAAGGATATCGGCACAACATCAAGATGGCGCAAATACGGGATTTTGGACACAAGAGTTCGGATTCTTCATCATCGGCTTCGTATTCATCCTTTTATCAAAAGTCGACAATCTCGTCCTCATCCCCATCCTCATCCTCGTCCTCGTCCCTAACACCATCATCCTCATCCTCCTCCTCCTCCTCCTCATATACACCACCACCGATATCAACATCCACATCCACATCCACACCATCAAGCTACCCCACAACATCATCCCGCCACCGCAGGCCCTCCCCTTC